CTATCAGAAATGCTTGTGGTCTCATGTACCTGTAAACTGCCAACTAGGCCTACTTATTCCATTCGGTGTGGGCGGACATCAGCAACAACTAACTTCTATCAGAGGCTTGATTTAGATGAAAATAAATGAAGATGATAAAGGTACTCAAAAGATGCCTATCCTTATTCAACTCAAACTCTTTTTTCATCCTATTCTAATTAGTGTTGACTTCAGAAATACTTACCCGTCTACACATCAATTCATTTCTAGTGACATCTTATCATCGTATTTCTCTGTATCAAAGTCAATACACACACAAAACTCATCTCCTCTTTATGATTGTCCAACTTGAAGACAAGTTCTCACTTAGTAATACTTCTTATCTCCTATCCTCAGACTTCGTAGAATTGCTTAACAACATAATGAAGATTTGGATACTACCAATGGATTCCCTATAGAAGTCTATGTCCCATTAGAAGTCGAGTAATTACACCTTACTTAACAACAGGGAATTTTAAGTGTCAATAAACGACAAATGAAACCGTGTACCACAACAAGTGAATCTAATGTCTCACTGGCTTAGAAGATAACGTCTCATGGTGTTTTCACCAGTCGGTACTACCTTCATATCTCCTCATTGAGAACACCATCACTGATTTGACAGTGCAGGTACATCCAGCTGACTAGTGAGTCCCAACTCGGACGTAACAGGCATCCTGGATTCCACTGCTGGCTTCCAATTGAACTATCATATTAAAGCGAAGCTTGTTTCATTATTTACAGCCTTTCACATCTACAAGTTTAACTCTATTCATTTGTCGTTGTTACTACCTGGTGTCTAAGTATGCAATTTATAAGAAATATCGTCTCCAGACACCTGTCTCTCTAATCCATAGGATACTGTCCATCGATGACAACCTCCACAGCAATCCATCTAAATAAACACTTAAACTTCGCTGTTCCTTCTTCTGCAAAGTTTACTTCAAAATAAACTTCTGAAGAATTTCAACTGAATAATATCTTTGATATATTTCATCATTTTCAAGGCTTTATGCTATGATCGTTAAGTGGAACTTATCAGTCTACAGGAGATACGAACCTAACATGCAAAAAAACTCTAGTGTATACCCTAATCAGAATATCAACCAGAAGGATAACAATACCAACGGGATTTGGAGGAGACAATAAGGAAGAATGGACGATTGACACATAGCTTCTACTCTCATGTCAACAGTCAAAAACAGTTGAGAGTGATGGTGAATATATATATAGACAGTTGTAAACGACCTTGACGACAATAAATTCACTGACAGGTTAGAGAAGTTAACAACCAATGAGAGTTCAACCTTTAGAAGCTGTGTATATATAACAGTTTATCAGTGTAACAGTGTTCTAAACAACCATAGATTTCGTCCTATTTAGGACTCACTAGTCAGCTGGATGTACCCGCCTCTCAGTGAGTGATGTTGTTCCCACCGGGACCCGGAATCGAGAGCGACCGCTTCAAATGCCAGAGCGGAACCCACCACACCACACCAACAAGACACAGCAGTCCGAGTCCCGATGGGAACAACATCACTCACTGAGAGGCAGGTACATCCAACTGAACAGTGAATCCCAAATAGGAGGAAATGAGCATCCTGCATTCCACTACCCATCATTTCTATACACAGTTAAAAAGACAGTCAATATCGAGGCATCCACATAGAAGCCCATATGCCAAGAGACACTGATCAACTCGGTACAATCAACGACGGTGTAATACTAGCAATAACACTAAACCATAAATTTATTCATAATTTTCGATTCCTTGTAATCTGTGAACACTTTCTAAACTATCTCATTATTACGGGGGTCAATTTCATGATGTAAGATTATCGTACATAAAGCTGTTGTTTAGCATTTTGAAGCATTCTCGAAACTGGTGGAATGAAATGAGTTGCAATACCAGTGTATACCTGAGAGTACTTGATAGTTGTTTCGCTCTAGTATGAGACGCTTCAGCAGTGAGTACCTGCAACTACACCAGGGACAGAAATCACGACCTTCAGCTGTTATAATAAACCTGTCAACCATTTACTCACTGTCAGCGTGACTATCAACTAAGGAGTCTTAGACACGTACTGCTAAGGAGTCCCATACCTGCACGAAACAGCTGTCTTCAATGCTTCTCCAACTCACATCAGTCTGTGATGAATGCTACTTTGAAATAAATAAGATGTCCTCCATAAAACCTCGATAGTTGTGCCATCGCCAAACCTCGAAAGTCTACATTTATGTTACAGACAAACAGACAAACAATGAGTGACTTCTTGAACTGGTAGCACGTTTCAGTCTACTAGTCCCTATCTGTCTACTTCTTCTTCTATAGATAGTCGTTCAACGTACTTTAGGGGAGATTGCATGTGATAGATGAGGGTAGAGCACATGTCTCACTCAACCGAACTGACTACTTCTCACAACTTCATCGAATGATATCAGTGACATAGGAGTGCTTATTGACATTTCTCTAGTTGAATATCAACATATTGTCTATGATCTCACTCACTGATAACTTAGTTTCAATATTCCATTCCAATGAAAATAATGTCTCAGAGTGATATTTTATAGTCCATAGCTTATCAATCAGTAGGCATTGATGAACATTGTGTGATTTCAGTTGAAAACAAGTATCTCCTTAGATACTTGTGTTGTCATTGATTGTGTAATATTTTATTGATTTCATCTGTCATTTATTTGATTGGTAGCATGATTATATAGGTGAGTCGATTTAAGAAGTTTCGACCGATTCCTCACTCCTTTCTGTATGACCTGTATTAGTTCTGAGATGATTGCAGCTTGTATGAAAACCTGTTGTTATGCATTCGATTGCATATTTTGTGTTTGAAATGGATTGTTTCATCTTTATAAATTATGGTGTGTGTGTGTGTGTGTGTGTGTGTTGTGGTCAGGTAATTCAATTGCATGTACACACATGGATAATGAGCAGAATTGCATTACACATCGTTTGTGTAGTCGGATTGAATATACCAGATTAGGCAAGTGTATTCTACACCTATCACGCGCAAGGTCAGCTGTAAGACTGGGTGGGCAGAATCATCTGCATAAGACAATTACATCCAGGCAAACAAAGATATAACTCATTGAAAATCACTGAGTCCATTTCAACGTCATCCTAATCACAACTGAAACAGCCAATCACATTTAGTTATTTTAGGCCGATTCGCCTTTCAAAAGGAAATAAACAATTTCCATTGGCTATTTCAGTCTCTTTTAGGCTAACCTTTACAGTCACTCTCTTACTTCACTTTGCATTGAGTAATAAAATTCAACGAACACTGATTACATTTATAGCTATGTTAACTCATCATTGTGAGTTTTCATGCTTAGAAAATAAACACAAACTTTCATGAAATCATTGTTTACCTCTATTCAGACATGCAAGCTCTTCGACATACTCCTCAGCTGATGAGTGTTGACCAAGTAGATAAGTGAATACACGCACATTTTTCTGTAAGGAAAATTCAACCCTCTGTATTCATTCATATCATCAAACATGTATACATGACAAAACTGTATCTTCAAACAATCTCATTTTCACCAATTAATATGATGTGTAGTGGCTAGCAATGAATTTCACGACATGCATTGTGTCCTATTTGGGAATCTCCAGCTGAATGATTCTGACAGATGACATTCTCATTCAGACTGTGATCCAATGGACATCGTTTCAAACACCGAGGTGCCAATCACTAGGTTACTGAGTTATAAGAACCACTGCGTTCGTGTGTTACACCACATTGTCATTCAATTATGCAACCATTCAAAATCATTGAAATCTCAGGTCTGTTCTGAATATCTATCCTCTACAGGATGCATTTCATTCCACTGGTTGCATATATCCATACACAAATAATCCACAACCACTAGGACCTAAGGACAACAACGGGGTGTCACAACCAGAGGTTGGAATACACGACTGGACTATGTAGGCGGTTTCAGTTACCGATAGATCTCCAGTTCAAATAATCAGTGTGAGTAAGTGCTTCAAAGTATGATCGTTAACGTTTATGGCAAGCGATTTTGAAGTCATGGAGCTTAAGGATTTGGAAATAATCTGTACAGATATTATTCCACAACTGAAATCGCAGTAGTAATGAAGTAATCTCATGTTGTTGAGGTTTGTATGGGATTTCATGGTTACATTCAATTTCGACTGATATCAGTTAGAGATTCGTTGAATACCTATGAGCCATGGAAAGCTGATTTATCGTAGTGTTGGACTTGTGAGTAGTGCACATGCACAACACCGAGAGACACTGAATCTCGATCATCTCCAGTTAACATTTGCACATGCAGACTTCTTTCTATACTAGGATGCAACTCGCTAATCTCTTGTCTCTTTCAACGATCAATCTAGTTGTCATGGAGTAAATATGCTGTTGAGAAGTGAGTCAATCACATGACGAGTACTTCTACCAATTACTTCCATGTTCAATTCATGACACAAAAACTGTTCTCATACACATCGACTTAACGTGAGTACAACTTGTTCAAATAAAACATCTTGAATACTACTACTGACAGTTTGACAGTAGCGTCATTTACATCACCAAATATTCGGCACATCAACAATCCATTCTCAAATTGACTCTGTCATCACTGTCATCTATGCATTGAAGACTGAACACACACTCACCACTACATCACCTTGTAACAAACAAGTCTAGACAAAATGTCTCAACGTGAGAGTAGAGCTAATCACAAAAGTACAGTCAGTCACATTCTCAGAAGGCAACTATAACCTGCTATCACATTTCACAACATCATGAACTAATCACAATGTAGTTGAGCCTTCATTCTATTCACATAAGGAAACTGTAACAGTGTGGAATGGATGTCATCACCCAATTCACTTGAACAACCCACACAAATTACTCATCTAAGAAAACTATGCAGTCTGTTTACATCCTACTCAAACTCTTGTAATTCTCTTTCACTCAATATTCACTACAGGTGCCATGTGGGAGATTCAATTGGATGAGTATCGTTTGGATTTTTTCGACTGCCGTTCACAACCTTGGTGAGTCAATCAACCAATTGAAAAGTGTAATTTACATCAGCTTGTTTTAGCAAACTATGTAAGTTGTGGGATTTAGGTATTTGTTATGTGGAATAGTTGAGAAGAAGAGGGGAAACAACCTAATTCCCATTATACTGGTTTACGAAGGTGATTTGGATAGAGAGAAGCGATTGAAATAGGTGTAGAGTGTGATTAAGGAAGTCTGTAGATGTGTGTGAGTGGTCTCAAACCGTTCTCGTTCATCAGTTATGTGATAAGAGTAATTAGTTTTCATACAGAAAACCACTGAGTATTTTGAGGCCAGTACACGTTTCCCTTCAATGGTTTTGAGTGATGTTCGCTCGAACCCTGCAGAAATAACAGCGATTCATTACGGAGGTTTCAGAGGGGATTAGTTTACTGATTTCAATTTCGCATTAATCATGAAATGACTGACATTGGCGGAGAAGCACTGAGGTCTTGGGTGTACTGAACAAGCGTTTCGTTGTTACAAGCGACTCGTCAGCAGTTGGCTTTCATGATTCCGCGAGAGATCGAATTCAGGATAACTGCCTTGTGACAGCCATATACAGGTTAGTTTGACGCTCTGATCCTTATCTTTCATTAGATCTCATGTTTTAATTCTTAGCAACAGTCTAAGAATATATGAAATACATTTTTAAGTATCTGAATACACAATAAGTCTTCATAATTGGTCTATATTTATGCCCAAATTTATACATGATAACAGTATAGTTGTATTGCTTGAAGTTCACGTGTACATTTAGAGTCGTACAAGAGTGAACAAGTTGTCAGACTGACTGAACTTCAACATGGTTATAAATAAAAACTTTGTTTGAATTTTACCTATTTAAATCATCTATGACAATGGTATAATATTTAAGGATGTAGTGAACGAATAGTGCTCTGTAGGTGGTCGACTGGAAGTCTTTCTTGAAGTTAGATAGGTTTCTTGTGGTTATTGGCGCTTGGTAACATATTGCATTTGTGACCTTAAGGGAACTGATGTCCCTAGATGATAAGAAGGAGGCTAAGTTCAAATCAACATTCTAAGTCATTAGCAAGAAATAGTTTATTGCACAGCTTTGACCTTCATCCAGCCAATCAAAATAAGTGTATACAACTTTTGACCTAGTGGCTTTATTTTCTGAAGAAAAACTGTTTATAAGTAATTTGTTTTTTTTATCGAATGATTTTGTTCCCTTTGGAGTCATATATAAATCTTTGTTTACCAATATTTCCGTGGCTCAATAAAGTATCAGGTTCATGTTCAAGTATTCCATTGCGTTAACAACCATATCGGATATCTTATTATTTTGTCAGTCACTTCATTTGATCAATTCAAACCTGTATCATTTAGGTGGTGCATTTTTAACACTATCACCTTTGTCAAACTGAAAGGATATCATGGTTAATATCACTCCTGGCTGATAAATATCAACATACATGTAATGTAGGTGAAACAGAGTTCCTTAAGGAATACTCTCAACCCAACCAACACAAATGAAAGTCTACCAGAAAGTTAAGCTTCCTATATTCTTGAATGATAACCTTATAAACTGATAGCTTATACTGATGCTTCATTGAATCCTGATAATTTCAGAAGGTCATCTTTAAATTGTAAGTGCTTCTGTCACACACACACACACACACACACATAATTTGAAGTTTATGGTAATTTTTACTCTAAGTTAATGTTTTTCAAGGAATGATATCAGTTTGGAGAAGTATTGAAAACTGCAGTACATTGAACAACCGCTGTTTCGTAGCAGTATGACTCTCCTCAGTCCATAATGTATACTACTTTATATATATGTATATATTGTACGTATAACTGAGTCAATGTTAATTCGTTTTTCATCTAAATTCATTCAGGTATTTACAAGCATCAGCTTATCCTAAAGAAATGATTATACTAATTGATAAAAGTGGTAGTATGAAAGGTCGAAGTGATATTTTATCAAACGCTACAGCTGTTGAAATATTGAACACTTTAACAGACAATGATTATTTCAATGTGATGCTAGTAAGTGAATTGTTCAGGCTTACTTACTGTATATTATCTAACTTTATGATGAAATGTTTAACGATACACAAAAAAACCATCGAACTTATACAATCTGTCTAAGATAAGATATTGATAGTTTGCCAGACTTGTATTCTTGATAATAATTCAAGACGATATGGTAATCTAAGTCTAAACTGAATTCAAACCAGTCTATGGATCAGTGATTAAGTGTTCTAACATCTGAGCTACGAGATCCAGTACACTAATCCATTCATCATCATCATCATCATCATCAGCAGCAGCAGCAGCAGCAGCAAGAGACTTAATTCCTAGCCAACACTTCTTATATCATTTCATTATTATTATTATTATTAGTCCCTTGGGTTCCTAGTGGAACATAGGGCTTCAGTAGCACGTCTCCAGTGACCTCTGTTCTCTGAGATCTTTTGAACCTGCCTCCACGACAGTCCACAAGCTCTCATTTCCTCCTCGCACGATCTCCTCCATGTCACCCTCGGACACCCTCGCCCAACTCGTCGCTTCCCATGGGGATTCCACTCGAGGCACTGGCCTGACGCGTGATGTCCCCAGTCGGCTTTCTCAGTGTATGTCCAATCCATTTCCACTTCTTCTTGGTTGGTTGGCCCTTAGAATAAATTTTAGAAATTATAGTCAACGAAAAAACAATCTATGAAACAGAAAAAGATTTAATCCACACATCAAAGAAAATAAAAGATGGCGGGTACATTTCATCAACTTTATCTGAAGAATTTGAAACCTACAAGCAACATTATTTCATGAATGTATGAGTTGCCAAGAAATACTGTAACATGAGGTACGACTTCGCTCTATCCTTGGAATGACTAACTCACCTTACAAACCCTATTGCGAAATAGTTATTACAATAAGTTTATACTTTATGTGATCAGTTAGCAAAGTGAAACATGAAAGACAACTTTGAAGAAATAGATGCGATCCCTTGGTGTCACATTGTTTCTGTGCACGACCACGTTATCCGTGTCATAGCTTCGGATCTAGCGTTTTGGGCAGACATGTCGCTATGATATAAACTTCTTGGGAAAACAAATAGTTAACAACAATAAGAGGGTTGAAGACTGAATGCAGCAAAAGGACAAAATAGATAAGGGAGGACAATTTATGTTGGCTTACCTTCAGACACTTGTCACTCGATCCTCTGCTCTTGACCAACGAGTTTAACCGTAAGCTCCGGATGTGTATGCATGACCAGGAAAGACATTTTCTGGGGGATGACCTCCGAGGAGAACCGAGGGCTAAGTCAGTTTGGCAGTTGAAATGCCCAAGAACCACTGACAGGAGGTAGACAGGTTGGTTCAAAGGAATAATAATGCCAATTTTCAACTGTTGAGAAGTGAGCTGACGAATACGCAGTGGTGAAGTGTGCGCACGGACAGAAGTGCTGCAGACGTTCGATTTTTTCAGATTGAGTATTGCAATAGGGAGTTTTTCAATGTGTAGAAATACAAAAGCTGAGAGTGGAGCGAAAACACGTCACTATTCAACGAGCGCGCGAGAACGCTTTATTAGGATAACTTAAGCTGGTGCCAGTATTGTCAGTGAGTTGTTCAATATGATTCTTCATCAACAGATGATTCGAACTAGGTTTTGAATTGTTGATCTGGTGACAGAGCTCAAAAACAGCGGATTTAAAATGATGAAAACTACGTTATATACATCTATGATAGTGTAGACTTTGATCATTTCCTTGAAGGAGCTCGGACCATATTTCTGTGGTAAATGTTGGAATCCCTAATTTCATGCATGCTGAAATTTGTCCAAATATTACTTATTTCTAACGCCAGCTTCGGATAGGAGACGTTACCATTCAAGTTGTCACTTCGACTTCAAATCAGTTAAAGTAGGCTTGGTTTAAATATCACCGTAAAAGGAAGGAGAAAACCTTCAGTGGCAAGATGGAAAAGCCTGAACTTTGGGCTACCAATGAAATTTTACATTTAACATATTATATTGAATTTCCCCTTTCAAGTTGTATTAATATCTCAAATATCTCCACCTTACATTTCACCAAATCTTGAGGATTTTTAAAATGTTCTGAACTAATTGTTTTGAGATTGGATAAACGACATAATCAGCTGATTTCGTTTGATCCGAATTCTGTGTGTACTGCTCAGTTTACTGACACACACTGAAATGCGTTACCTCCATCTGTTTCGAGATAAAACTTGATAGGCTACTCCACTTTTGACCAGATATGCACAGGTGTGTGGGCGATTATTATTTAGGATTGGGTTTATTTGATCTCTGCGACTAACTGCAGCAACAAAAAGGGTGCATGCCTCTTAAAATCAGACAAGTATTTGGTGTTTGTGGTTTGCGATCACTACGGTAACTATTACTTACGTTATTCAGATCTATTAACGTCACTTTTCAACCTTTCCAGCTTTCAAATTCTTCAGACACCGTAAAACGCAAAGAAACTGTAGTCAGACTGTTCCTCAAATCTAGCGGAATAAAATACAAACGAGCTTATGCTATTATTGCTTTTTTCGAAACGACCTCTAAAAGGAGAGCAGAACTTTCTCCACCAGTAGCATGCTAGCTACGTGACCTGGAAATGCGCCACTACCTCACATACACTGTATGCCCTCTATCCATTGCTAGTCGTTTTTTGAAGTAATATCAAAACGAAGGAAAAATGTCATATTAGACGGAGATGAAATTTTGTATACACAAGAATACATGATATTTCTATCCTTTGGATACCTATCTCATATAGTGCATTCTTCTACTGGCCCAATGAACCACTATCACTAAACACTGGGTGTTATTCCAGCACAAACCGCCTACTCCACATTCTTACCTTTGATGCTGTTATTATGAATATCATTGAGACGCCATGATCATTTTGTTTGAAAACGTCGTCTTGGTAGTAAATTTCTTGATTTATTACATGCTGAGAATTCCATAATGTGTCAAACATCTTGTTTGAAATAAAGCATTTATTATTATTACTACTTAACACCCTAACCTTAACTCGTTACAATACAACTTTGAATCTTATTATTAATTTCCTTCCCCCATGCTGGATACATTCATTATGCCCGATCACCAGTCGATTGACAAAATATTCGTTTATTTTGTTATTTGTTCTATAGCAGGCAGTACGCCGGGATTACACAAGTAAAAAAACACCTTATATGATGAATCAGTTCACACTTATAGTTTACGCGCTCAACCTATCATCTCAATTGATACACCTACGCCTATGAGTCATACTATCAAGTTACACAGTCCAATTATATATTGGTGATGGAGAGGGGCTAGCAGTGGAATTTAGGACGCGCATTTCGTCCTATTTGAAACATACGCAATATCCAAGCATCCGCGTAGGAGCCCATATGCCAGTAGGGATCGATCAAATTCTATTCAGTCAACAACGGGAAAATACAAGTAACAACATTAATCTGATTGTAATTATGATCTTATATGCACTTTAAAATGCATTCGCCACAAATCAGGCAATAACCATATTGACGACTTTGATTTTATAACTGTAGAACCTGACGACAAGTTACTGAGAAAGAAAATTTTTCGTTCATATTTAACATTTAAAGTGTGAACTGGGGATCACTAGATATCTGTTATCCGGGAATGGTTGTCTCAGGCAAAGGAGCTGTGGTTCGTTGAGCAACGCGTTTTACTTTCTACCGTTGTGTTGTGCCGTCACACACTACCCCGAAATCAACAGCCTAGGGTTTGGCAACATTGATGCTGACTTTGATAGTTCAACTGGACTCGCTAAGCTGAAGGCACCCGGTCAAGCATCCTCGCCATTTGGCACACTGTCGTGTTACATTACACTGCTCGTATTCGACTCTCTAGCCAGTTAGTTGGAACGCATCGGCATCTTGGCACAACCATCCAAATATACTATTCCATCCGACTACGCTATCGTGTTCTTCCTTGGTCTGGTATTCGTGGGCATATAACAAGTCCGAATAATTAGTGATTGGTGTTTGCGTCTGTCAAGTTCGCACCAGGACAACTCCTAAATTGTTGAGCCCGATGTGATCACATATCCCGACCAATGACAGATATTGAATTGGTGACCTTGTGCCATTTGATATTTCTATTTTGCTTTAGTTTTATAACCATTATATATACACTTACTACACTTTCTCATGTCGAACCACACTCCCAAGCTTATCCGCACTAAGCCGACCACGAACACGACCCAGCTCGTGCCATATTGGCCAGACAATGCAGAAACACGGTTTCTGTATGCCGAGGCAGATTTTCGAGAACAGGGTGTCTCAGGTCCTCATTCTCGATTTCTTTCCTTCATACGTTCACTACCGTGGGAATTAAATAGACATGTTACAGCACACGTGTTTAATCCTGAAGCAAGTGATCCTTGTGCACTTCTCAAGGCCACATTCTTGAAGGAAAGCGATCTGACAGATCGCCAGCACCTAGACGAATTACTTTGTAACATCGAGCTAGGCAGCCACCCAGCTACTGAAGTCCTTGCACGCATGCGTGAAGTAACCGGCGCACGAACATTCGACGATGGCCTTTTCCGAGAACTATTTCTCTCAAAACTACCACAACCAATGCAAACCGTGTTGGTGACACTGCAGTCAGTCCCACTCGATGACCTGACAGCCTCGGCAGATAAAATACTGGAGATTCCTAGCAGACCCATCTGTAACGTATATTCTGTCTGCGACAAACCAGAGGGCCAGGATTCAGAGGTGACCAAGCTGTGCAACTCTGTGAAACAGTTGCTACGATCTCGAAGTCCTAGTTCACGTAGCACTCCACAGAAACGCATAGCAGCAACTCGCTTGGTTGCCCCAAAACTGAACCTAACAGGGTAGAAAAGCCTAAGTGGTGCTGGTTTCATAATACTTATGCAGGCAAAGGCAGAAAATTTACGTCTAGTAAGGTTCAAATAAAGTTCGGCTGATAAGAAAGTCCTACTAATTGATCTGGAAAGACGATTTTTCAGTAATTTTGATGCTGCATCGCCTTTAAATTCCAGATTCATGAACAAAGTCTCTTTAGAAACCGGGCTGACAACCAATTTGCTCGCGTTTCTGCAATGTTCCTATCAATAAATTGGATAGGAAAACCGTTTTCCACAAGCTTACCTCTTAGAAAATCAAGTTTAACTTTCACACAGTCTGTTCTACGACTATTACTTATTCGATCGCAGAATGAGTGAATGAGGCTTCTTTTCCTCATGATCGGCACCCATCTGTGTACATTCCATTGGTATGCCTCGTAAGTAGCACGCCAAAAAAGAAATAACTGAGTGCAATTCCCTCTCAGTATTGAATTCCAACACTGAGTGACAATTGTTGAACTCGTTTAGGGTGTCATCCAAATCGAGATTTGAGTCACCGGTAGCGGATATATAAACCGCATATCATCTATAGATATCAAAATGATTAATAGTTGGGCTAAGGTTAGAAGTTTCCAATTTTGATATAAGCAATCTGGCAATACAGGTCCTATTAGGGATCCCATCGCATCCCAGTCATTTTGCTTGTATGTCTCATCGTTAAAAGTACATCTCATCAAGTTGTCTCAAGTAGTTTTTTAAGAATTCCTAATTTTCTGTTATGTGAATCGATGAAATCACACATGTAACAGTTCCAGTGATTGGTACACTGATGAACAGTGTGGTGACATCTAATAATAATAATAATAATAATAATAATAATAATAATAATAATAATAATAATGACTTCAGTCTGAAGACTTTTTCGGCAATACTCCACAGAACTGTCAGCAAGTCATGTAGCATCAGCTGGATAGAAACGGTGTATGTGTACGAAATAAGTAGAAATTACATATAAGAGTTAAGAATAATTACTCCATCTACGACTTTCTTTAAAATCAATAGTTAACTTAGGTGGCCACTCACATTTGAAGTTACAGTCATAGTACGTAAATAATGACATTTTGTGTACCCAATAATTAGTTTGCTTTCAAAAACAAAAGTTGGTTGGTTAGTTTTTTCCTAACACTTTCTTCCTTGAACAGGAGATGAGCTAAATACGGTAATGTAAAGTTCTTATATTTAGTAGTATATGCATAAAGTTCTATACACTTGCTCCTGGTCTTTCTCTATGACGAACCCGCATAGAGCTTTGAGTGAATAGGATGCTGGTCATCTGACTAAATAACTCTCCTCAGGTATTTACATGAGTTAAGATGTTTGTCCACAACAGTTTCAATGAGGTCTAGAGGTATACCACTAGTTCTACTGACGGTCTTCAAAGTTCTAAGCAATATGGCAGTCTTCTTTCATCAACCCGAGAAACATCAAAGGGGAACAATAGAGGAGAACAGGCAAGGTGCAGGAGTTTATGAAAGACAAAAGGAGAGGCTGAGTTGTACCAGATACTCTTAGCTTCCTAATAAAGAAAGTTAGGTGGAAAATTCTTTTAGAAATTGACGAAATATGGGAGGACGAGTAAAGGTCCGAAGAAAAACACATACCGAGATATATTACACTTGTGACATTCTTTAATACACAACTATCAATCGAACAAGAATCATGAGAACTGAGCGGTCAACATTGGTTATGTTCACGTGTAAAACTAAAGTTTATAGTATGATATTTTAAAGAATTAGGCACAAGACAGTTTGAGGAGGACCATCGTCTAACGGTAGATAGGAAACCATTCAGTTCGAAACAATCTGTTGAAGAGGAGATAGATATGGAAACTGTCAGGTCATCAGCATATTTGAAGAAACGGTGATAAAATCTAAGGAAAGCATTACTTACCGGTGATATCAACATTCTTAGTGCTACCAATAAACTGAAGTTCACTAAGAATAAAGTAACGGGACACTTGCCTTATGACTGGCTGCAGTATTTCAGCTGACTGCGCGTATCCTACAGGCGAAATTGAAGAAACGCCTTACAACTTGGAAACCAATCAGAATGCTGTCTTGTGATGTAAGTCCGTTTTCACTTTTGAAATTGGATTTCATGAATACTTTCTACGCCCCATCTAACATGTTCACTTATTGTCTTCTCCTACAGGTCAACGACGTTGAACCTGCCTACTGAATTGCCGTTTGTGTGTCTGTTAGCACGGAAATTTTTTATAATGTAAATTAGCACACTCTTTTACCTCATAATACAAGCTGCATTTCTCAATAGTTGCTTTTGGAGCAGACTCGGGTTACTACGGGCACATTTACATTGTTTCCGAAAACCATGGTATTGGTGCGTAGGCAAGTTGACATCCATGCGTGAAAAATTGGAAAACTTCCACTCCATAGCTTCAGATTGTTGAATTATTATCGGTAATCCCGGAATCCGTAGGGGAGAAGTCTACGAGTTCACACGTTTCAAACATTTCCGGTTACATCCAGACTATCGCAACAAGTATTTCGTTCACACTCGTCTGCATAGGCATGAAGTTTAACAATATTTACTTCCCATAGTTCCAGCATTATTCATGATTATTAATGGAAGAAAACGCATTTCAGTTCGTGTGAAAATATGTATTTAGGTACAAAGCATTCAACACATTTAGAGTGTCGTATGAGTAAGTGTTCATCAGTCACTCCTTCAAAATTCTCCTTTCTCGATATTGTTGTAGTAGGACGGTCATCCTGCAATGTAGAACGAAGGAAACATTTATAATTTCTGCGGTATATGCTTATATGTAGTCAATGGGAAAAACGGTAAGCAAGGATCACATATGCACAAAGTTCTCTACGAAAAGTCTGATTAACCAATGATCTCTCCGTATTTCGAAAAAATACACCTGACATCTCAGGTGTACCCAATGCACCTTACTACGCAGATCCAGTGTGTCAGCATTTCGATAAATACATGATGACAGCGAAGTAAATTGTCTCCGAAATCGCTCCCATAAATTATACAACTAGTCATGTCACCTAGAATACACAAAGGGGAGCGTTATACAACTGACTGCAACCTAGTGTAAGGATAACCTCTACGCCAACTTAATCACTTTCGGTGTACACCCATAAGCTCATGTCCCTTATACATAATATATCCCGATTCAACCTGTCGAAAACCCTTAAAAACTCAAGCAGACAAATATGTATAGGCTATCTCTACTCAATAGAAGTTGCTTCCGAATTCCTGGGCTAGAAAGTTTGCTACATCGGAGTAGGTGTGGAGATTCTGCAATCCTGTAATACTGAGTGAACTTATAGTCTTCAATTCAATCAGTAAACAAAGTAAAACAACTAACGTCGTATACGGTTATGGGTGCATACATGACCAAAGAAGAGTAAAACTTATCGGTTCTTCGTCTATTTACCGGACCAGCAAGTTTTAGTCCTCTTCGGTTTTCAGGCACGCCTAACATAACACGACACAAACGCTTCTCTTCGACTCAGTGTAGGAATTCGAAACGTTCACAGTTTCCCTTTCCTTCCTTCCGTGTGGACATTCAGGAGATATAATTGTAGCCATCGTTTTGAAAAACTACAAACTGTGCTTATACCCACAAACCAAATATACCTCTTTCCAAATTCCCTGTCAGGATGCAGTTCCACGGACTAATAATCATCACAAACTCAGTGCATTATCATAAAAATACTTCGAAAGCTGACTTACCTACTCTGATACGTCAACTGCTTCCGCTATCTTCATCCTAACTGCTCAATGTCCCGATGATTTCTTAGCTACTCCTTGCTATTAGGTAAATGAGAGGCTAACAGAAGATCCACTGCATCCCTTTGCAATGCTTTACTGAGTAGCATACACACAATTCCATCAGTGAGCACAAATGCTCTGACGCTTGCAAAATCTCATTCCCCATTTGACTGTAAACACATACAGTGGATCATTATAGACTGCCCATAATAAGTGTGCATGGTCAGCAGTAACATAAAAAGGTAAATATGAGATACATATGTATAGATTAGTACACTTAACACAGGTGATAACCTAACATCTCCCTTTAACCTTCCAAATACATTTCTACTTCATGCAAAGCAAGTTATACTTTACCAACG